AATTTGTACAAAAAGAATTTTATTTGAAACAATAATAATTATTTATGAGACATTTAAAAAATGTACTTTTTGTTTTTTTTTGTGAAACACTTTAAATTTATTTTGATAATATTTTTATTTTATTTGGTACAATCATATTTATTTGTTGAACATTTTTAAATTAATTTGAAACTAACTGTAACTCTTTAAAAACATAAATTGAAGAAAAAATGAATCGGGAGATGTGGCGACAACATCTCCTTAACAAACTAAAAAACCAATCAACTCATTTGTTCAACCAAAATTACAATCAACATCAAATTTCGGAGAAGACTCTTTATTCAACAAATTTACGATTATCACAAACAACATCAAAACCAATTTTGTAACTCCTTGTGACGTAGTAAAAAGGGGTGAAGACTCATCTAAAAATTTATCAAGAGACAATTCTACAATTAAAATATCTGATGAGACACATATACAAATTGACAACACTTATTTTTCGCTTTATAACGCCAAAGATACGGGAAAAAACAGAAAAAAAAATTCACTTATTATTGTGCATACAGAGAACAGTTTAGTTGTGAATCGAGAATTATTGTGACATTTGAGTGTTGTTCCAGTAACGTGGTTGTCAGTGTTCACATGTATATTGATCACACACACATTTACAATAAAACCATTCAAAATGCTCAGAAATAGAATTTCTGAAACTTCCAAGGCCATAATCGCAAACGACATGGAACATAATATAATACAAAAAGTCACAGATGAAAAACTTAAAAATAAATACTCGAAACAATTTATTAAAAATGAAAGAAAGAAAATAACGGGAATTGTGACAAAGGATCAATGTAACTAATTGTTGAAATATGTATCAACGATATCAGATTTCGATACTTTATTTGTCAACAACTCGTGTGATGTTTTCGATCAATGTTTTTTCTTTAATAAATCATTGAGAATTGACTTGTGTCAAGATTGTGTATTTCTCGACGATACCTTTAGTACCAATAAATTCCAAATTCCGATTTTAGCTGCTCTTTGTAAAGATATAAACAACAAATGTCAAATTATAGCATTCGGTTTTTTACGACACAGGTTCACATCATATTATGAAGACTTTTTAATTTTTCTCAAAACACACTACAACAACATAAATTCTTTTATAGTCGATAGAAGCGCGGCACAGACTTCTGCAATACACAAAATATTCCCAATGGTTAAAATTGTTTTTTGTTTTAGACATATCAGACGAAATATTATAACGGCATTTGGAAAAAAATCTGATGTTTTTAAATGGTTTAAACAGCTTATTAATCGGGTTATTACTGGAGAACAATTTTTGTTATTTATAGCGAATTATAAAAC